CCTGAGATCCTGTACCTCAGCTTGTAGAACCTTTGTCAGTGTCAGCCATGTGAATGAGTCACGGCCGTTGCTTGGCCAATGTGCTGTCTGTGAAAGCCTGAGAGAATGTTTTCAATCCATGTGACTCTCCTTAGGCACATTGTACATCTTCAATCACTTTCCTTTTTGACCCCATAATCTCCTTGATCAGAAAATTTGGGACACTACTGAGTTACATGATGTAACAGTACAAGTTCTCAAATGTCCTGAGTCTTAATTGACCTGGGAAGGCTAGGGCCAAAATGTTGGCTTTCCTTGCAGCCCTCCTTTTTCTCTAATTTTGGTCTGCAAACTTAGGTTGTTAACCATCCAGAAGAAAAAATTTTTTAATAAATGTATTTTTAAAACAGTGCAGGAAATAAACATTAAAATGTTTGCATAATTACAATCCAGTGTGAATTTTTCTGCCCCAAGTGAAAATGATTATGAGATAGCAGATACATATTCCTAATAAAATGATTTAACAGTTTCTTCCTAACACAGGAGGAGTTAACTGATCTCCTTCCCATTGGCTGTGTAGAAGATTCACAGTCTGATCTACTTGGCTAACTCAGATGACACAGGAAGAATCAGAAAGTTTATTAAGGATAAGGGTTATGGAGCAAAGGGTGAATATGGGGAAAAGAAATTTCTTGGCTTCTGATAAGCTACCTTTCTTTATAGCTGTGATGTCAAAGTTTCATTTGAACAGGAAACTTTGTCACTGGTGTGTACAAGAAGGGCCTTTAGACTTAGCCATGGCCTGAAATTCCATTTGATAGGAAAGGAAGAGTTTGTTGTTTTCCACAATAGTGTTTCAGATGTTAAAACTTGTAAAAAAAAAACCCAAAACTTAAAAGTTTAAATATGTTTAAAAAAACTATTTACACTCCAACCCACATCCCTTCCCAATACTTACACACATTAAAACCTGGTTTGGTATTTTCCTTGCTTCTTAAGGACATGTTAATTAGGCAGGTGAAATACAGCATACTCAACTCACGTTACAAGTTAAATGCCAACTCATTTTTATTTAGTTAGACGTGGGTCATGTGTTGAAGAATGGCTTCTCTGATGTAAGTTGCCATCTCAAAAGCTTTGAGATTGAGAGGCCCTCCTTCAGTTCCTTTTAGTCCCATAACCACGAGATAAACAGACTCAATCTGAACCACGGTCACTGCCTGGCTGCCTCGACTTTGGCCCTTGGTGCGCAGGTCCATGGTGTTGTTGCCTTCAGTGTACAGGTTGTCCCGGATTAACAAGCATTTGGTTCCTGCAAGGGTAAGTCCCTGGAGAAATAACTTCTCTCTCTCCTCTCTTCCCAGCAATATCTGAATTTCCTCCTGGGTCAACTGGAACAAGTTGCCATCAGGATAAGAAGCTAATAACCAGGGTGGGGAATTGGTGATAATTGCTGCATCGCCACACATCTCAGTGGGTAGAAAGAGATTGATATAATTCTGCCAGGCCTCTTCGCTGATATCTTCTATGCACTGCATGATTCATGTATATTTTCTCTATAAGATGAATGCAGTGCTTTCTATTAAGTTGGTCTTCAAAAAAAGTCTTCTGAAAGTTGGCTCAGGAAGTCCAATTAGCTGATACTGGAACAAGCTAAAAATCCAGTCCGTTTATTTATGGTAGTAAGGAGGAGGAGGTTTTGTTGACCTGTATACACTATTTCTCAGCTCTCCTCTGCTGTGGTTTATCAAATTACTTCTAAAGTAGCAGTGAGGTCACAATGGCTCTATGACTTTTAAAACAGTCAGCATCACCTATGTCACTAGTGACATCTGCCAGTAGATTTCTAGGTGTGTACTTATAGTTAGTGATAAAATAGTATAAAATATATTATATACTTCTATGTATACGATGGGAAGAGCATGATCACCCAATACAAAAGACCTAGAAGTAGAATATAAGACAGCAATATCTGTAAATGTGGTGTTTTTTTTTGTTTTTTTTTGTTTTTTTTTTTTTTTTTTTGCAGAGCCGGGGATTGAACTCAGGCCCTTGCGCTTGCCAGGGAAGCACTTATTCTGCTGAGCCATCTCCCCGGCCCCTGTAAATGTGTTTTAAGCTTAAATGTAAAAAGGGAGCAGATGGACACTTACTTCAAAAAGTAGCATCATATAATGGCTACTGTTTCTTAGATTTTAGCTTTGGGTAGGCAGTCAAAAGGACCAAATGTTCACCACTTCATAGGTTTTATTAGGACAACAACAACAACTTCTAAAATGGTTTCCTTAATTTCACACTCATTCTTTCTAAATTATTTCTGGTTCACACTAATCTTGAATGGAGACTCATTCAATCTCATTAGTCATTGAGTAAGTTTGAAGAAAACACTAGGTGCCATGTACTTTCCTATCTAGTGAGACACAAGCCTACACAAAACAGAAAAACCACTGCCTAATAGAACTAACATCCTTTTATTTTTTTAAACAGAGTACAAAATAGTATTAAAACATAAAAAATTGGGGCAGTAAAATAACTCAGTAGTCTAAAGCATCTGCTTAGGCAAGCTTAGGCAAACACAGAGATTGCAGTTTTATTCCCCATTACTACATGCCACTAGGCACGCTGAGCTGCACACACACACACACACACACACACACACACACACACACACAGACAAAATTGCAAGTGATGCAGAATTTCCTTTTTTTGTTTATTTTTTATTTTTTAATTAATTTTTTTCAGAAAGAAATCGTAATGAGACAGTTCAGAACAGGTGAGGACAGTTAAAATTATTAATACAGACTGGGGATGCGGGATCCTGAATAGA